AAACAATTCAAATTTATCTTGGGAGGTTTTTTTAAAAAAAGAAATCACATTTCTCTTTTTAAGGCTTTCACATCCTGCTCTAATTGTAAGCTTCTCAACACAGGGGTCAAGTCAAGGTGACACGGTATTTTGTAAGAAGGATGGGGGTGAGGGAGAGTGGAGATGGGATCAGAATGTAGGCATACTGATTAGAGAACTTAATGATGGGTTGTGTAGTTTTACTGACATATAACATCTAAGATCAAGTTCAAATTCAAGACTCTTGATTCTTGGGGAAAGGAAAGTAAGAGAAAACCCTGAAGTCAAAGTCTGCCACTATGTTCATTTTTAATTAGCTTCATTGGTATTAACCTACCACCAGACAGAAAAATTAATAGCCAGTCAAGGTTTGTTGATTTTATTCTGTATGTACATGCTGATATCCATCTGTGCTCCTGAGAAAAATTACAGAGGTGTTCAGTCATGACAGAACGATAGGAATTGAATAGAGTTAACCAGAGGAAAATAGGAGTTTACTGGTAAGTGAACATAAAGGTTCATGGAAAGAATTAAGGAGGATTTGTTAAATGGGGGAAGAAGCAAGAACAAAGGCACTGAGTTGAGAGTAAAGGCAGCATAGAGGAAAAATAAGATTATAAATAACAATAGGTACCGTGAGCTCTAACCACAACCACAAACCTAAGAACAGATAAAACCTACATTAGGTATTCAGAGAACTGTGGGGTCAAGTCTCAATTTAGTTTCTGATAAGCTCTCATGAATACCCGTATAATCTGAGTCATATATAAATATCACTCTCAACAATCAGCATCTAGGTATGCATTTATATCTGTAGAGGTATGTAAATATTTAAAAAATTAATTTTGAAGGACATTTTTTAAAATGAAATCCATTTAACACAAAGTTTCTTGTTTTGTTTTTTTTTTTACCAGTCATTGTGTTGAGTTCCTGAAGTAAGAAAAGGGACTGAAATGGGACTTTTGCATTTATTGTTAGTTTCATAATCATTATGTGACCTTGTATTTAGAGTTTAAGGTCACTATCTCATTTTTATGTACTTAAAAAAATGTTTGAAAGTACTGAGGTCACTGTTTAGCTTAATGTGATAAAGAATCTAGTAATTAAACATCCCCAACCTTTGGAATCCACAAAAGGATTTAGAACTAGTTTGAGAGGCAGCATGATGATAAGTGCTTTGCAACAAAATCCAAACTAGGCTCCTTAAATGGATGAGGAACTTTGACCATAGCATCTGTGAGCCACAGCTTTCATCTCTGAAGCGGATAAAACAATTTCTATCCAGAAGAGTTACTGTAAGGATCAGAGTGGACAGGACATTAAGAGCGCAGCATGATATCTGCCATATGTCAACACCTTAAGAAAATATACCCATTATCATATCGCCTATTTGATCATCATAGCAAACCACTCAGTTTTCAAAAGAGGAAACAAGTTAAAACATTTAAAGAAATTGCCCAAGTTCCATAATTGGGCCGATATTTATATCTTCTGGTTCCCCACTGGTTTTTCTCATTGATGTAACTAATGCAAATGGGTTACAATGCAGAATCGTAAGTTCTTCTCTATCCTGGGTACCCAGTAAAAAGCTCCTATTCTTTTTCTTTTGAGCAAGCAAAGTGCCTTTGCTTAAGGAAGGATGTTGTACAGTGGTCTCCAAGGTGGGGCACATAAACCCCAGGTATGCAGGATAATCCCATGGGGGTGGAAATGTTTATAACATCTAATTATATTTTATTTATTTAATCTTTCTTAATTCCTTTTTTCATATCTCTAGTAATTTGCTTCAAAATATTAGTACAGAAGTACAAGTATAATACAGAATTTCTAAATAAATTAATATTCTTATAGATCTGTGCTCAAAAATCTTGAAAGGAGTATGTTGTTTTAAAAATTAGAGATTACAGCATAGAGAACTATGTGTGAGAGCACACCTGAGATAGGCCTGAAGTTTTTCTAAATTAATTAGTGGCAATTAGAGCACTAGTCAGAGAAATGCTATTTTGATACTATTATGATAACCACATTCTTATGTTCAGATTAATAGGAAAACATATTACACATATTTTAGCACATCACAGATTGAAGAAACTGTGAGATGCTGCCCAAACTCTTATTTTCTAACAGTTCCAGAAAAATGAGAATTTTCCCCATTTATGAGAATTGTGTTGGTGTTGGTATCTCACTGTGGCATTTAATAGCCCTTATTATCAAATAAATCTTCCTGATTAATCCAAAATTCTAGCACTGTGGTTTAAGTAAATCCTCCCATATTATCTTTTCCATGAAGATTATGTACTTTTAATGGGTCCTTGACCTGGGATTCACCAACCTTCTGGAACTGCATTTTAAATGATGTATGTTGACATGTTTTACTGGGGTCAAAGGCCCTTAAAGTTTTGTGCCCTTTCACAGAAACAGCTAACACACACCTCTTAACATGTAATCTCATTATAAACCAGGTTACTTCTCAGTTGTACATTCTCTGGCTTAAATATTCTAAATTCCTTAATGCAGAAACTTTGGGTAACATTCTATAGAGTTTCCCCGCTTTCTCCAGCCAGTTACCTTCAAAGATGACCTTCTACATGTCCTTGGCTCACCTTCATTTCAAGGTTGCCTGGCACTTTGAGGCCCTCTACCTAGAAATCCCGCCATTTTCTTTAACTTTTTCTCATAGTTTTCATTTTCAAGCGCTCTATCACTGTAGCTCTCCTTTGAGTGATATTACCTGTGGACTCAAAACTCACTTTAGTATGTTATTAAGGATATGATAAATATACTAAGTGAAATAAGCCAGGCAGTGAAGGACAAATGCCACAGGATCTCACCTATAAGTGAAGCTTAATCAACAAAACAAATAAACGAGCAAAAAAAGAACCAGAGACATGGAAATAAAGAATGAACTGACAAGGACGAGAGGAGAGGGGAGAGGGGGATAAAAGGGAAAGAAGGGGAACATGTAAAAATGACCCAAGAACAGTGGGGAGGGGATTGTCTTTGGGAGTGGAGGTTGGATGGAGCAGGGGAGAGCAACAAGGGGAAAAATGGGGACAACTGTAAATGAACAACAATAAGGAAAAGAATGTGATAAATAATAAAATGGGAAGAGAATGAATCTAACCTTTGGTGTGAGCCAGGTGTTTCATTTATGTTATCCCTCTAACCTTTAAAACCCACCATAGTAGTAGACATTATTGTAGTCCCCTTACTCTCTTCTCCCTGACATACAAGTAAAAGATACTTTGCTATGAAGTCAAGTGGAAACATAAGTTAATTTCATCAGAAATATTTATGCCCATACTTTATTCTTTCCACTTCAAAGGATACTTTCTAAGAAAAGTTACAGTTGTAATTGGGTAAGGGAGATGTCACTCCTTACTAAACTTAGCCTCTTGAAGGTAAGGTTCTTTGTGTTTTATTGATATTCTCCAGCACCGAGTGTGATGTTTGGTGCATAATAGGTACTCAGTGGATACTGCTGGAATGAATAAATAGAATGAGCACCTACTGTATCCCTAGCAGCATGCCTGGGGAGGCAAGTCGTATTTTGTCCATTTTATAACCGAGGAAATCGAGTCTCAAGGAGATTGATTAACTTGCATAAGAGCATGTAGCAAAACCATCAGGTAAAGTCATGTTTTACTAAAATCTTTGTCTTTTCTCCTAACCATACCAATGGAACGCCTTCTTTACACATAAAAAAGAATCTGATAAAAGAAACAGTTATTATCAATACTCTGGGAAACAATTAATGAATTACAAAATTTAAATTACAAATTAGAAACTCCTTTTCCCCAACTCCTCCTTCCTGGCAAAGTGTAACAAGCAAGGTGGCTGACCCATGGTGACAAAACTGACCTCGCTTTTAGAGCAGACAGGATCAAGCAGAAACATTCCAATGTAACTGACAAATATTACAAATACATACTTAGCACCCATAACAGAAAACAAATTACCATGTCTGTACTCTCATATAGTAAATGGCCTGATTATGTATGCAAGAAATAGGTGCTATTGTAGATATTTTCATGTATACAATTTTCCCCAAGTATTAATAAGTCCACAGAAAATATATTTCTATTATTATTATTAACTTATTCTTATGGCATTTCTCAACACATTTAAATTTTTCCTAGTTTCAGTGAATATTAAAATTTCATAAAATTTCAGCTGTTAGTGATTTTTCTTTAGTAGTAGACAGTTTGTGTTTATTTCCCTCATTAATTTCACATTATCTACAATTATTATTCTAAAAGCACTGATGTTAACTAAGTTTTCATGCTTACATTTTAAAAACATAGGATGTTTTGTGAATTTTCTTGCTGTGTGTATTTATGTCATGTCAAGTACATACCACCCACAAAGTACCCTAAGTATAATTTTTTTCCTTTAAAATTTTTTCAATTACACTAAGTATTATCTTTTAAACTCAGAATCTTAAACAGTGATTTTAGAACATATTATTATACATAATGTTAAACAGTATTACTGTTATTGTTTGCACAATTCTTTACCAAAATTTAGAGCTTTAAAAACCAATTTGATCATTATTTATAAACTTGACACAACTGAGAATAAGAACAGAAGGTTTAATTTCAATCATAATATTTTATCTTAATGATATAAGCCATCATGAAAGCACAGCAGTAAATTGTGGAGAAAACACAGGAAACCTTTCATCTATTAAGCCAAAATCTTCTGTGATGTGTAAATGAATTCTTTAGAAATTTAGTTTATTGACTTTTTTTATCTTAGTAATATAATATTAAAACCTTATTATATAGTATAATACACATATACACATGTTTAAACCATACATTGTATTTAAATTATACAAAGTTGGAATAATATTTCTGAGCACCAGAAGAGGGTTTAATCCCAACAGAAAGAGGGAGGCCCTTGTCATATCACAACATCCTGAAATAAATGTTATGTTAAGACAGAAGCTCCTAGTTTAACATTATCATCTCTGGACTTACCTGGTATTCTGACCGCTTGACTAATAAAAAACCTTCAAAGTATAAGGGTAGAGCAGTAATCTTTAACCTTTCTTGGAAGATCCTGCGAGGGGCTGGTTTCGGGGGCTTCCTAGCCATCATACCCACTTGTTGGTGTGCAGTTTGTTTTCAACTGTATCCAGTCTCAAACAAAATGAGATCTCCCTTGTGTGAGAGGAAAAGGTAACTGTGCAAAGAGGAAGTCCCAACTCAATCTTAAACCACCAACAGGACACACATACCAACACACACACACACACACACACACACGTGCACGCACGCACACACACGCACACACTTTCCTTCCTTTACTTTTTATGAGGTAAGAGAAGACAGGCATAGACCAACTTTGAGAAAGTAATCTCTGGGTTAACTATATCTACTTAGAATTACACTAACATAATAAATTGAAGATTAATACCACCAGAGGATGAAAGGAACCAATTTAGAGATTATGGGCTTTAGAGGAGAAATCAAGGTCACATTTGTTTTCTTTCTTTTTTTAATTGCTGTCCATTTTCATCCTCAGAATGCATGACTTGAATTAACTTCACTTAACAAAAAATTAATTCATAGAATAATTTTATTAGGACTCTTTCTGTTGTTTTTCAGGATCAAGCTTTGTTTAATTTTTAGGAAAATGGAGTTCTTTATCTAATGTCCATTTTGATGGTCCACTAACCATAAAACACAGTTACGGCAATATGGGATTTTCTACCTTTTTGTCAGTATTTTGAATTCATGGGTTACCAGTGGATGTTTGACAAAGTATGTTTGGCAGAGGAAGCTATACATTTTCAAATTATTTTTGTTGTTGTCATTTTAATGCTTTCTGGGCTATGGATCACTGATACTCTGTGCACAGACTGGGGTCCCTACAGTTATCTAGTAGCATTTACAGAGCTACACTGCAACCAAAATGCAATTAATAGTTACATGTGGGTAATGGTCCTTGAGAGAATGGGTTTAGATCAACACTGTAAAAAGGATAATGGGGGAAGGGAACACTGGGAAGACTTTTGGTTCATTTTGCAGGGGTCCTAAGAAGTTACACCAATTCTTACTTCATCCTCAATATTTCAGAAAAACTCGTGGTTTGGTAGCCTGGGCCTGAGCGTTCTCTACGATTAAACCAGCCTATTTTCAGAAATCAAAACAAGCCAGGAACCTTCAGTCTGATCCTCCTTTTCCAGCGGCGAGACCATGTGGTTTTCTCCACCCCTAGAGGTTTCCATTGGATCTCAGCAGCAGATATGGGAAGCCAAATTTCTACACAGTAAGGTATAACAATGCAGTCTGATTATTAATAAACTAGAGAAGAGTGTTCAGGTGCATTATTAAAAGGAAAATAGTTTGAAACAGAAACAGAGGGTTAAAGATTCAAAATTACTGTCTTGCTTTTATATTAAATTGGCACCTGCTTCCTATTACCCAAATTTTCACATGATAAAATTTAAGTCCAACTTAATTTTTTTGAAATGAAATCGCATTATTTTTTAGTTTCAATGTAATTAAAAAAAGAGTTCAATGATAAAAAGAAAACTCCCTATTGGATTAAGTGACAAAATCCACCTTTTGGCAGCTGAAAGCTGATGTAACAGGAAGGGAAAGGAGGGCTGAGAACTGAGAAATGAAAAGCGAGGAGGGAGGGAGGATGTTGGGAATCATCAGTGGTCGGAATATGAGAAAAGTAGTCATGGGCTTTATGACCACAGAGTTGCATGGGAGAAAAAACAAACACCTCTCAAAAAAATTAAAAATAGAAATATTTTGAGAAATAATGATCTCATTAATTATATTTTCTTATTTTTTAATTAAACAAAATTAAAGCAAAGCCAGTTCGTTAATCTCTGTGAGTTGCTTTGGTTTGCTGATTTGCAAGTCAAATTAATCCTTAATATACCAAAGTTCAAATACTGTCTCCCCGCAAAACAAACAACTCCAAAAAACTACATAATGCTAAAGTCCTGCCGAAACATCACTAGCCAGTTAGACCTGAAAATTTCCAATATCATTATACCACTGTGCCATTACAATGGAAATACTCTTATGGATATCTCAAGTTTAGGTGTTGAATAATGAATTTGTAGGTTAGGAAATGTAGTAAAAAAAAAAAATTAGGTGTTTGGGCATAGGGAGAAAAGGCAATTTTGCTACTAACTGACTCTGAGGCCTTGAACAAACAACTTAACTTCTTTGGGATCACAACTTCCTCTCCTATGAAATGAGGAGATGGACTAAATGACTTCTTGTCTGGAGTTACAATACGCTTCCACTCTTTTTCTTCTCTGATTCATTTAAAAATCAATGTTTTCAAGTCGTTCCCCTGCTTAAAACACTTTAAAAGCTTCTCATGGCTTTTGAGGTTCATTTTTTCATTCAACAATAAGTTTTTTAAAAATATTTTTTAAATTTATTTTTAGAGAGAGGGGAAGGGAGGGAGAAAGAGGGAGAGAAACTTTGATGCAAGAGAGAAATATCAGTCGATTGCTCTGACCCAGGGAACGAACCTGTAACGCAGCCATGTGTCCTGGACCTGGAATCCAACTTGTGACCTTTCGCTTGGCAGGATGGTGCCCAACAAACTGAGCCACCCTGGTCAGGATGAACAGTAAATGTTTTTTGAGCATCAGCAATGTATTCAAGCATGGCACACAGGTCTTTTATAATAGGACCCTTTTAAATGAAAACTCCATTAAAAAGTACTCTCTGTTCTAGTAACTTTGATTACTCCTACTATGTCTTTTGAGACAAAACTAAAAGTGAGGAATCACTGGTATAGAAGTGATATTAATGGTTCAGTCAGGATGATTTAATTTGCTAACCTTATAATTTTCATACTAAGAATTGCTTCTAGGATGAAAGTTTTTTTATGTTCACACTATTTTTGTATTATAGGGAAACATTTATAAGTATATTATTGAGAAATAGTTCTTGGATTCCAGATAGACACAGGGTCACAAGATTTCTAAATGAGATAAATAATAGAATAGTGGCAGTTTCAATAGGAGCTGGATAAGGAGATAGTTTTGAGGGTAGAGCAAATAAATTGCTTTAAGCACTTTCAACTCTACCGTTTTCTTCCCCTTTACTTTATTTAGGATCTATTAGTGCTCCTTTAGGAAATAAAGTAGATTAACACTTAACATCCATTACACCCCTTTCTTGTGTGCCATTCTTTACTGCAGGGGCTGAAAAGCTAAAAACTAAATGTCCCAAACTTCTTCGCAGCTGGAGCTGGGATATATTCAACATTAGCAAGGCAGAACTGAGACAGAATTCATTCTTCGGCTGCCTTTGGTTTTTCTAGAGGAAAGCGTAGTCTATAGGCATCTGATTTTCACTGTGGTAGTGTTATCCGAAGTCCCAGTGTGGATCACTAGTTTCATGGGTATTGATAGTCAAGGCCTGGAACATCAGTGTTTTAATGCCTACCTTGGCAGGTATGGCATGCTTCTGGAGCCGGAAGCAAGAAGGAGGCTTCCTAGGCATGGGAGCTTCTGATTTGTGGTGGCTTCCTTGACAAGGCCATTTCATAATTGTGATGGCTTTTTGACTGTGCAGTGTCAATATGGTTCAGGAGATTCCAGCATTAGCATGAGCTTCCCATTTTTTCAATTTGCTTCTTGACTATACATGCAGCAGTTGATTCTCGGTGGATCAGTTTTGCAACATGTCTTCGGGAATTATTTTTGAAAGCCCAAAATACATTATTTCTCCATCCCTCCCCACAATTCTGTAAGCTGATAAGTACCTATTAGTAGATCCCTTTTAACTTAAATTAGCTATCATGAATTCTGTTCTAAGTAACCAACCTCTTATCAATACAGTTCCCTTAGTGTCTACAGAAATAAGTGAAAAGTTATCCTAACATCGAAGGTGCTCCATACACTGTCTATTTTGCACACATGACCACTACTATGTGACAATTTTTTTTCTGTGTCAGCAGTATGTTATTTCTGCCTCATGTCTTGGCTTGCAGTTTATTTTCCTATTTCCGTCACCTCTTAAATCTTTTAGGTATTGTCTGCAAGCTACAATTTTGGCATTATATTGTTACAAATTTGTATAGGCATTTGAATTTATAAACACCTTACATATCATGCATGTCCTATACATACTTAAATTAAAATAACTTTTTATTTTTTATTATAAATAGAAAATATACAAATTTTACACAAAACAGGCATAAGGCAGAAAATAAAAATCACATGCTACTCTACCGTTTGCCATTAGCACTATTGGAATGGGTACCATCACTTTTTTTCACTTTTTCTCTATTTGTAAATATTTATGAAAATCAGTTTCATACTATATGTGCTGTTTCATGAACTACATTTTTTCATATAGTGTGTGTAGAACACATTTCTATCTAAATATAAGTGTACAGTATTTAAATGTTTGTCTAGTACCAGTGAGCTAAGTATATGCAAGGGTAAAATTACAATGCAGAACTATATTATTAAGCTTTTGAAAATCTAAATTTTATTTATTTTTATATATATTTAGTCTTTAAATTTATATTTATTTTATTTTAAAATTAAACTTATTGGGGTGACACTGTTTAATAAGATTATATACATTTTAAGCGTAGATTTCTATGATACATGATCTATATATTGACTTGTTTTAAGTGACAAAACATTTTGTGAGGTAAGAATTACATTGACTAGCAGTGAACTATGAAAAACAGATTGGACACCTAGAAAATAGCATATTTGTTGTGTCCTTGTTAAGAGAAACAATGTATGTATAATAGAACATAATTGCAACTAGAAACCAAACATCCACTGATAAGCACAGAGGTAACTTAGAAAAGGTAAAAGTCAGTCAATTTATACAGTACTTTAAAATTAAGGACTTAATGCAAACTTTAGGACCCACTGAAGGGCAAAATTGTGTTTTTGTGAACGCTGCTGCCACCTATCTGCATACTGCAAGTACACCCTACAGTCTGGGCATAACTTTGTAAAAGGCTGCTTAAAGTGAATGTACTTAACAAATGAACCAACATTTGGCAGTAAAGAGTAAAAAAATGAAATTTTATATTAAAAGATAAAACTCAAAATTATAGATAAGTTTATTTCACTTTATCAAATTTTAGGTTATAATT